ACACACCTAACTGTAAAACAAACACAAAAACAAACCCGTGAAAGTCCTAAAATATAATATAGGAGAAAATCTAGTGTTTGAAATTGACAATTTCGATTATATGTTAAAAAGAAAACCAATCTATCGATATAAAGGAAGGAATGAAAAATTGGACTTTATTAAAATTAAAGACATGATCAGTAGAACACACTATCAAGAGAATGAGAAGACAGGCCACAAACTAGAAGAAAAAACTTACAAAGTACTATTAATCAAAGTAAAAAAAAAAAAAAAAAAAAAGCTCTTAAAACTTAATAAAAAAATGAACTCAAAAAATGACTAAAAGACATAAACACTTCACCAATGATGGATATAAAGATGGCAAACAAGCATATAAAACCATTCATATTTAAGGTATTACAAATTAAAACAGCAACTGGATACCATTACAAACTTATATGAATGACTAAAATCCAAAATACAACAGGGAATGTTGGAGCAATAAAGTTTTTCATTCATTTCTGGTGGGAATGCAAAATACTACAGCTACTTTAGAATATAGTTTGTCAGGTTCTAAAAAAAAAGACAACTAAGCATATTTATGGCATGTGATATAGCAATCACACTTTTTGGGATTTACACAAATGAAGTGAAATTTACATCCCCATAAAAGCCTGCATACAGATTTTTATAGCCACTTTATTCATAACTAAAGGCCTAGTGCATGAAATTCCTGCACAGAGAGGGGATTCCCCTCGCCCAACCTGCACCCTTTCTAATCCAGGACCCCTCAGGGCAGGCATCTTCAAACTATGGCCCTCGGACCACATGCGGCCCGCAGAGGAGTCTGATCCGGCCCGCCAGGTTTTTTGGGCAGTGAGCGCAGCCGAGGTGTTACAGTAGGAATTAGTAGTTCATATAGTCCGGCCCTCCAGCTCTCTGAGGGACCATGATCTGGCTCCCACTTTAAAAAGTTTGAGGACCCCTGCCTCAGGGGATGTCTGACTGCTGGTTTAGGCCTGATTCCCTAAACTGGCAGTTGTACATCCCTCTCACAATCTGGGACCACTGGCTCATCTGCCTGCCTACTTGATCTCGCCTAACTGCCTCCCTCCCTCTGCCGCCAGCCTAATCACTCATAATCACCTCTGCCTGCTGACCTGGTCACCCCTTATCCCCCCCCCCCCCCCCCCCTCCACCAACCTGGTGGAACCTTACTGCCCCACACCAGCATGGTCGCCCCCAACTACTCCTGCATGCTGGCTGGTCACCCCCAACTGCCCTCATCTGCTAGCCTGATTGCCCCAGATTGCCCTTCCTATTAGTCTGGTTGCCCCTAACTGCCCCTAACTGCCCCCCTTGCCCCACACAGTCTGTTGTTCAGTTGTTTGGTCATCCCTCACTAATCCCTCTGCCGGCCTTGTTACCCCATGCAGCCTGCTGTTTGGTCATCTGACTGGTTGTTTCAGTCTTGACAGCCCCTGGCTTTTTATGTATTAGGATTGCCAAAATTAGGAAGTAACCAAGATGCCCTTCAGGATGTCAGTGAATAAATGGTGGTACATCTAGACAATGGAATATTATTTAATGCTAAAATGAAATGAGCTATCCAGCCATGAAAAGAGTTGGAATAATCTGAAATGTATATTGCTATGGGGAAAAAGGCAGTCTGGAAAGAAAGCATACTGTGTGATTCTAACTATATGCATTCTAGAAAATGCAAAACTATGGAGAAAGTAAAAAGATCAGTGATTGTCAAAGATCCACATGGAGGGAGGAATTGATAGCTGAAGCAGAGGGGATTTTGATGCAGAATAAATATTACATATATACTACAATGGTGGATATATGTCAATATACATTTGTCATTACCCATAAAATGTATAATACAAACAGTGACTCTAATGTAAACTATGGACACTGGTTGATAGTGATGTGTCAATTAATATCACAGGTTATAGAAATTTATGGTGGATGTTTTTATATAAAAATTCACTAGATTTTCTGATCATTTGTGTTGTGAAACTAAAACTATTTTTAAAAATAGATCCTAGTAATAAAAATAAAATAATAATGTGATCAGTTTAATTTTACATTATACATTCATTCAAGGAATATATAATATTCTGGGTTTTGTTTTACTTTTATTATATAGGTGAGTTCTAGCCTTCATCTTCAAAATGCGCACATATTTTTTCCAGACATGTTTAGTGCTAATCTCACACAGACTATTTTCATTATCTGGAAAATTATATATTAAGGAACAATGCTTTGTAATAAATTGTTATTAATTTCATGTCTAACGCATTGCCTGTAGGTTTGATGATGTTTAGTAGAATTGGTCTATTTAAATGACTGAATCTAGGCAGTCAAACATATTTTAGCTTACACCATGGGTTTTTACTATAAAAGGGTTTAATATTAAAATTTCTTATTTAGGTGTTGAAAGTTAAACTGATGTGATAGTTGCTCAAGGTTAAATGTAAAGATAGGCATCCATCTATGCAAATAAACCAATTGGTGTAACAACTGAACAACTGGTCGCTATGATGTGCACTGACCACCAAGGGGCACATGAAGAACATAGCAGGCATCTGCAGCAGGTGGCAGAACATAGAACATTCCAGGCATCAGCCACTGATGGATGGTAGAGCAGGTGATTAAGGGCGCCAAACCAGGGCAGGGAGCTAGTCACTATTATCGTGGCGAGCCTCCGGTGGTTACTGAAAATTCTTTTCTCCCATGCACCACAGTCCCACCAGGCACTCACACCTGCTGCTAATGCCAATTCCACTTATACCCACTGCTGGCACTGGAGCTGCCACTTGCACCCACTGCCAGCACCTGGCGCTGGCCCCAATTGCTGGGCACCATCAGTGGGTGCAAATGATGGCTGCCAGCCACGATCGCCCCTCTGGGCTTCTCCACCTCCCCTTGCTCCTGAAGGTGATTGGGGCTGGAAGCCCGCTGCTGGCACTCGATGATGGTGCTGGCCCTGCTAGCATCTGCTGCTGATGCCAGTCCCAACCTCTCTGTACTGGCCATGGATGTGAGCAGGGCCAGCACCATCAGTGCATGGGAGCAATGGTGGTGGGAGCAGGGCTGCTAGCAGACAGAGAACTGGGGACTGCAGTGGGAGGGGCCTGGCAGGGGCATGGAGGATGGACCAAGACCTACCTCTGTGCCCACCGCCGTCTCGTGGCCCACAGTTCCTTTCAAAGTGGATGAATTCATGCACTGGGCCCCTAGTCAATAATAATTGGCTAAAGATTTTCTAAATAAAATAAGGTGATGAATGCTATGGTAGAGAAAACACCTTGTTCTATTGGAGTTCACATTGAGGACACTTGGGGAATATAGATGAATTCCTGGTCTCAAAGTTTCAGATTTCTTTTTGTGGTTTAGTAATAAATAAAAGTATTATCATTGACTATACAGACATATAAGTCTGCAATAATGTGTATGCATTAGCTCTTTATGAAGAAAATACAGCAACAATTATTTTATTTCTTATATTATTATTCAATTTTAAAATTTGATTTTTTGGTAGATCATCAGTATATTATATGCCTAGATATTTTAGGCAAATACACACACACACACACACATACACACACACAACCAACATGGGAATATATGCAATATGTGCAGAATCATCTTTGATGCTTTGCGCTTTAACCAATTCATTCACCATTTAAAAACAATTAAAAAATTCATTAAGCTGGATTCTGCCCTTGGATACACACAACAAAAACCCCATTGAAGTTGATGTAAATTGTGCATGCATATCCAGGGGCAGAATTTGTCCCCACTGTAGTTAATTCACTCTGATCATGCCTATTAATTCAATATTAATATTTCCGTTCATTTATTCAATTAGTTCTGTGTATTCAAAATTCATTGTATGTAATACGTTGCGATCAGTCAATCATTGCATTTCCAGTCCACTTTCTAACAATCAATATTTCAAGTTAGTAAAGGCAAAATGCACTTAAAAACCAAAAAGAAATAGAAGTCTGTCTGTAGACATATCTCCTACTTTATTTTCTAATTTTTTAGGCCTGACCTTTCCTGGTAGATTCAGTCAGTGTGAGAGATATTAGCAAACTGTGGGACAGAGTTGGCCCTTAGATCAAATGCTGCTTTGTGGAGTAGCCAAGTAGGGCTATCTAATAACAGCCAGATGTGAAAGAGTAAGCTCACGAAATACCCACCACTTAATTAGGTCACACAATACCATTTGGCTCTCAATCAAATTTGGGTTATTTCTGTTCTGAGCAGAGGGATCTCTTCTGTCTTCAAGGAACATAGATCAAAATGAACACAGGATGTTAACATCACAGTATAAACATTGCATGCATGAATAAGTGGAGCTAAACTCAAGAAGTGTAATGATCCCTATGCTCTAAATTCATTTAAGTATAACTTCTTTAGGCGGGAGAATGAAAATTTCACATGATTTCTGTAGTCATTATAGGTATCCACAATATGCAAGATTATTAGCAAATCAGTAGAAGAGATATTTCCTGAAATTAACTGTTCAGATTTAAGTATTCATGAAGCATTCTAAAAAGAATTATGTTTACTACTTTTGTTTGTGACATATTTTTGAGATATAATTGACATATAATAAATAATATATTTAAAATGTACAATTCGGTAACCGACAAATGTATGCATCTGTGAAACCATCATTACAATAAAGATAATGAACATATTTTTCACCCCAAGAAGTTTCCTTATATATTCAAAATTTTTCTTCTAGGTAACTACAGATCTGCTTTCTTTTATTAGAAATTAATTTTATTTTTTTAGATTTTAAATAATAAAAATATGTACTATTTTGTATCTGGCTTTTTTCACTCAATAGAAATATTTTGAGATTCAACTATGTTGTATTGTCTATCTCTTCTATCAGTTTTCTCCCACACATATACTTTGTTTTAATTAAATTTATCAGGTTCACATTGATTAATAATATTATATAAGTTTTGCTGAAACCGGTTTGGCTCAGTGGATAGAGCGTTGGCTTGCAAACTGAAAGGTCCCAGGTTTGAATCGGGTCAAGGGCATGTACCTTGGTTGCGGGCACATTCCCAGTAGGGAGTGTGCAAGAGGCAGCTGATTGATGATTCTCTCTCATTGATGTTTCTAACTCTCTATCCCTCTCTGTCTCTGCAAAAAATCAATAAAACATATATATTTAAAACATTATATAGGTTTTCATTGTGCAATTCTATGATATATCATCTGTATATTGCATTGTGCCCACCCTTAAAGTAAAATCTTTTTCAGTCACCATGTATTTGACTCCCTTTTCTCTTTACTACCCTTCCCTCTAGTAACCACCATATTGTTATCGATGTTTATGAGTATTTTTTAAAATTTTTTCTTGCTAGTTCAGTTGTTGCTTTCAGTTTTGTATACCACATGTGAATGGAATCCTATTATTTTTGCCTTTTTTTTTGTCAGACCTATTTCACTTAGTATGATATCCTCAAGATCCACCCATGTTGTTCTAAATGGTGGTATTTCATCTTTTCTTATGGTAGTATTTTATTGTATATATGTTCTACATATTGTTTACAACCTCCCACCTGTTACAATGGCTATTATCAACAAGACAAGTAATAACAAGGGTTGGAGATATTGAAAAGGAACCTTCATTCACTTCAGTGAGAATATAAACTGGTACAGTCGCTATAGAAAACTGTATGGAGGCTCATTAAAATTTAAGAATAGAGTTACCACATGACCCAGTAACCCTTCTACTAGGTATCCACCTGAAAATATTTGAAAATATTTATTTGCAAAGATATATGTACCCCTATGTTCAGTGCAGCATTATTCATGGTGGTCAAGACATAGAGACAACTGAACTGTCCTTCAATAGATGATTGGATAACGAATATGTATTACACTCTAATTGTTTTAAATTTTACTTACACATATGCTATAAACTTCCCAATATATCTTTTTTTATTTGATTAAATAGTCCATTATATTTTAAAGAGATTTAATACTAAACAACCAATTTGTTTGACCATGTAGTTATCTTTCCCAGTACTCTTTATTTCTTCTTGTAGGTCTATATTTTCATCTATTTTTTAAAAATGTATCTTTATTGTTGAAAGTATTACAGATGTACCCATTTCCCCCCATTGACCTCTTCTAGCCCACACCTACCACCTTCACCACACTATTGTCATGCATATATGCATAAGCTAGTAAATTCTTTGGTTAATCTCTCCCCACTCACTCAACCACCCCTGCCTTCCCTCTGAGATTCCACAGTCTGCTCCTTTTTCTAATATTATCAAGCCAGAATTAATTCATTTAACATTTCTTGTAGCACAGGTCTATTGACAATGAATTCTTGTAGCTTTTGTATGCATACAAAGGATTTGTTAGTTTTAAAGATATTTTTTACTAAATTTAGAATTCTAATTTGACATACCTGTTTATTTAGGACTTTAAATATAGCACTCCTTCTCTTCCTGCTATCATTGATTTTGATAAGACATCTGTCATATCCTTAACTTTGTTTCTCTGTATATATCTTTCCCCTTCACCCATTGGATACTTTTTACCCGCAGTTTTGAGTAGTATGGTTAAAGTGTGATTTAGTATGTTTTTCTGTTTGTTTCTTGTGCTTAGTGATGGTTGAGTTTTTGAATCTATAGGTTATAGTTTTTATAACATCTGGGAATTTTAGTCATGATTTCTCCAAAATATTTTTCTGTTTACTCCCTCTTTCAACAGTGACAAAGACTCTGATTACAGACATATTGGGATATTTGAAATGTTTCTAAAGCACCTTAATATTTTGTCCATTTTTAAAAATAATATATTTCTCTACACATTTCATTTTGTATTTTTATTGCTATGTCTTCAAATTCACAAATTTTTTCTTTTTTCAATATCTTGCATTTAGTTAATCACATCTAATACAGTGTTATCTATCACATTATAATTTTTATCTTTAGGAGTTAAACTTTGGTATGTTTTAAAAACATATTTTCTTACATCTCTTTCCTTAACTTTTATAATACAGTTATAAAAACTTAACATTCTTACCTGCTAGTTCTAACATTTGTGGAAGTTCTCGGTCGATTTTTTTCTTTCTTTAAATCATGGGCCATATTCCCCTGCTTCTTTGCATGCCTCAAAATAGTTGATTAGATGCCAGACATTATGAATTTTATCTTATTGAGTGCCCAGAACTTTTGTGTTCCTATAAATATTCTAGAGCTTTATTTTGAGAACACTGGTAAACTTTATAAAAATATTTTTATTCTATTGGCTTTTTCTTTTAAGATCAATCAGTTAAGACTATGCTCAGTATAGGACTAATTATTCTCCACCATTCAGACAAGAGGGGATAGGCACTATTCCTAGCTGTGAGTAATCACCAGAAGCTGTTACCTCTAACCTTTGGGACAAGCTCTCCCCAGCCTCCTTTCATTTCTCCAATGGTTAGTTCTCAGCTGAATATTACATGGAAAATGTGGTTATCTGGAGTTCTCTCTCTGTGGCTTGCTCCTGTTTAATAATCTGTCATGCAGATTCTAAACCTCTTAGTCCCTCCAAATTCTTATCCTCATCACCTCAACTTGAGAAGTTTGCTGGATTTGTCAAGTTCCCCTTCTCTGAATAATGCTTTGGAAACAATTTCAAGGCAGTAACTTGGAGAAATTGCGTGGTTCACTTCATTTCCCAACATCTTCAGGGATCATGTACTTCAAACTGATGTTTAGTGTCTTGAAAATCATTATTTCATATATTTTTCCATTTTTTGTTTATTTTAATCACAAAGATAAAAATGGTCTTTGTTATTTCTTTTCAGTCAAAGGTGGAAGTCTTGGGTTCACCACTGAATTACTATTTATTGTTTCATGGCCTTCTTATTTATATCTCAAACAATCATAGAAAATAGAAGTTTAGCCGAAATTTGTTTGGCTCAGCAGATAGAGCATCGGCCTATGGACTGAAAGACCTCAGGTTCGATTCTGGTCAAGGGTATGTACCTGGGTAATGGGCACATTCCCAGTAGGGGGTGTGCAAGAAGCAGCTGATCGATGTTTCTCTCTCATCAATGTTTCTAACTCTCTATCCCTCTCTCTACCTCTCTATAAAAAATCAATAAAATATATTTTAAAATAGCAGTTTATAGTCCTTTCTTACTATTACCCATCTGGGTTTTCATATCACGAAGACCTGGGAGAATTAATAATTATTAGGATGACTAACTGTAGATAAATCCCATAATTTATAGTAAAAATGTTTTAGGTTCAGTATAATTTGGCTAAAATAATTGGAGTTTAAATTCAATTACAGATTTTCATGTGACTCTTCTTTTTTTGTCACTGGATAAGTTTCCATGATTCCAACCATCCACAGCATTTAGCAGAACCAAATCTAGTAATTAGCTCACTCATCTTAACCTTCAATTTAGGGACACTATAGTGTATCATCTATAAGATGAATGAATGCTTTCAATTATTATAAAGGCCACTGAAGATCTGTACTGGTCATTTTACCACTTGCTTTTTCTAAAAACAACATATTATAGCTTCACTCTTCTAGATCCAAGAAGATTCGCTTGCTTTCTTCTATCATATTATCTTTAAAGATATAGCTAAGTAAGTAAACAGTACTGATCATTAAAGTATTCTCTTACTCTTCCCACATTCAAGATTACATAAACTTTTCCATTATCCTTAATCCAATGATTTAAACAACTGTTGTGATTTCATAAGTGGAATCATTTGACTACAGGTGGGGATTAATTTGTAAAGGCAAGAAAACAGTTGAAAACAAAGAGCTAGTGTCCAAGTAAATATCTCTTGAGAAATGAGGGAGTACAAGCTACATTGCATGAGAAGAATTGTTACTGAGTATTATGGCTTAAAGAATTCCAGGTGGTCTGTGTGGGTCATAATGCTAATTAGCATTTCATCTTGGAATAATCTTTTGTTCTTCCCAATACATTTTTTTAAAACTAGTGCTTCTCAGGCAAAGTGCTAAAAAGTTTGTTTGTATGGGTTCATTAATTCTGTAGCTATACAATATAAAGCAAAAAATAAAAGCAAATGAAGGATCTGTTGGAGAAGCATTCCTCTGTATAAACTTAGAGGTAAATGAAGCAAGATGATTTTGGAAATGAAGCTGGATAAAGTAGGGTTCAATTAGCTGGATCAATCTTTAATTCCATTTCAGTTTCCTCATGTAGATATAACTCTTGTCTCCACAGGTTAAAACTAGTTTAATTCTAGGCTTTTCTAATTTGTGTGTGGGGAAGTGGTGGTGGTGGTTGGGGGGAGGGTGGGAGGGGAAGAGATACCGTGAAGAACTGGTTGGGGGAGAAAGGAATTAAAGATCTTTTTTCTGGTAGAGAAGGAAATCTATGTTGGTAAATCATGATCAGGAAATAGAGTGGGGATAGGTAGTAAGAAATAATGAGCAAGATAGAATAGGCAGGGCCTCCACAAACTCCTGTTTTTCTTCATCTGTCAAGATATACCTTATAACTCACTACAATAGGATATAGCAAATACTGCTAAAAACTCCAACAGCTTGATCTCTTCTAATGAGCAAGACTAATGAGCAAGTTTTGCTTTCCTATTTATAGCCACCTATGCCATTCTCTATATACCCCTTTCCTTCCTCCCTATTGCCTTAAGAATCAACTACCTGGCACAGCATGACCTTTTTTCCATCTAGTCCCAACTTACCTCTTCATTTGTATCTCAGGTCACATTCTTCCTTAATTTTAAATATATTTTTATTGATTTTTTACAGAGAGGAAGGGAGAGAGATAGAGAGCTAGAAATGTTGATGAGAGAGAAACATAGACCAGCTGCCTCTTACACACCCCCTACCGGGGCTGTGCCTGCAACCAAGGTACATGCCCTTGACCAGAATCGAACCCGGGACCTTTAAGTCTGCAGACAGATGCTCTAACACTGAGCCAAACCGGTTTTGGCAACATTCTTCCTTAATTTTAGTTCCTCAGTTGCACCAAACAATGCC